GTCCCTCCAACGTCATGCAAAAAGGAACTAAGATTTCCCCCGCAAGCCACCCTTTTGGGCCCCGTACCTTCCTCATTCAGACGTCGATGTCGTCTGTCCCTTATCAACTGTTAGTGTTACACTTTCCTCCATAGTCGCCTCAGCCCTATCCACTTCGGTCACTCCATCGGCAAGGAATCTTGTTTTGCCTTACTCCTTCCTCCGACACCCCCAGATCATTCCTCTGATGTAAGATCACTGGTACCTGTTCCTCCGTCCAGCTTTTTATAGCATTGGGCCGCCATATGTTCAAAAGAACCACATAATCTGCAAGTCTTCCGCTGCCCTGAGTAGTACACGTAGACCTGCGTTCGGAAGACCTCCATAAATACGTATGATGGAATTGGCTGCCTCAACGTCATTTTAAGCGTAAATGATCCTTCAGGTAGCCCCTCATAAGGTCCATTTTGCCACACCCCCATCACTGCTGAGTGGATTTTCCCATAGCTGTTAAACACCGCCGTCACATCATGCTCCGTCGCCTCAAAAGGCACGTTTCGTACCTTCACCCACGTCACATAACTGGACACATCATGTAAGCAGACTTCCACCATAGTGTTCACTGCTAGCCTCTTCTCTTGATATTTGTTGACTATGCTTGTGTAGAATCCTGTGTCTTTAAACTTGATGAAAATTCTCGACACACCATTTACTGCTACTCCATATAATTCTTCGGTCGGTATTCCATATACCTCACTGATGATGGAATGCAGTAACACGTGCATAGTTGTTCCTGTAAGCGTGCCACGCACCAGTTCCACACAAACAGTGCTCACCCGGCGTGCAATGCGATCCGCCATGTTGTATGCACAAAACAGGAAAACTGCGCAGTAAACCAGTTGTATCAGGAGCTACTGCGCAGCCTGTCCGCACGGCACAATAGCGATGCGAACAATGTATCTTGAGATTAAAGAACCCTCAGGATATCCTGTGTAAGCACCTTTTACCCATTTGCCAGGTTGGGCCAGATGTACAGTTCCATAACGTTCGAATACATTTCGAATATCTACCTCATCAGCCTCGAAAGGCACGTTGCGGAGCTTAACCCACGAATAATGTTGTGATACATCCGTCAACTTGACCCTCACTGCCGGTGTTACGTTAATGCTGACATCTTGGTAACGATCAACCAAAGCCTCGTATACTTGAGCAGTTAGCACTTTCACGAAAATTCTATATACAACGTTCAGTGCCACTCCATATAAATCCTCATCTCTGATGCCGTATGTCTCTCTTATAATTTTGGGCAATAACACATCGACTGACGTAGGTGTTAAAGCCCCACTAATGAGTTCAATGCCCAGTATTCACTCTCCTGCGCACACCTGGCGCCATGTTGTTGACTGAGTAGCTCGTCTGGGAAACAGTAGAGGGGTGCAAAGCACGACTGCACTCTACCTCATCCAGGCAGCGAATGCGAATGCACAACACCTCCCCGTACCACTGCTGTCAGGTTACTGAAGAGCGTCAGGCAAGGGGGTCTACACGGCCCAAGAGCGATGCAGACAATCAAAAAAAAAAAATGATTCTGAAGTTCGCTTAATTGGAAACTGCGTTTCCTCTTTCATGGTTGAAGTTCAGTGAATATGTATAATGTCGTTATTGCAGGTGATTTTAGTTTTATTTTTGATCGGTTGATCGGCTGTTGAGTACTAGTTTTTGTTCTTTGCCAAAGTTGGATAAGGTTTCCCCTACCTATCTATGTATTATATATAGATATCAGTTACCGTATCATTTTATGTCATATTTATTATTTCACGTACTGTTTAAATAATATATATATGTGTATATGTAAAAAAAAAAAAAAAAAAAAAAAAAAAATGCCCCTGTTAAACGGGCGAAGTAGGGGAGGTTGCTTAATGACCAAATTAGGTGGGGGGAGGGAGTGAAAGAGGTGGTTGTGGTTGGGGGGGGAAGGTGATGATGTAGGTAGGAGGGACTGACATGATCACTTCACTCCGCACCTCAGTCACTCAAACAACTATAACATTTTAAGGTGCAGTCTGTAAAGAAAAGCAAAGGTATTTGTTATTAATTACTTTTAAATATGTATTCTTACTATCCATTCGTCCTTCCTCAGAGCTCGAGGGATATAAATGATATTACAACTATAATTAGGGTGACTTGGTTTGTGTAAATAATGAGTTGATAATTGAGCTGGAACATGAAGTGATTTCTTTGAGAAAATTTTATTAATCTAAAAGTGCATTATAATTTAACTTTAAACTTTTTACTTGTCATTCTATTTAGCACTTCACTAAAGCTTCTTAATTTCCCTGTGATACTTTTGCACTATTAACACTATGTACTTTACACCAGTATAATCTCTTTTGAATTTCATCCTACATAACGCTTGAGTTTGTCGGAAAATATTGAACTAGTAAACCTGGCGAGTCTTTCTTTACTCGATTCTAACATTCTTCACTCAAACACGACTCTTAAAACTTTCCAGAATAAATAAGTTAATAACACTGCCACAAGTAAGCATCACGTCCCAAAACGCTTGCCTTTCAAAGCTTACCCTTCCCCTCCCCACCCCAAAAACTTTCAAAACGGGTAATTATAACGTCAGTCACCTTTTAGACTACCATAGGAATGTGAACTAAACTTCCATTAACTACTTTTAAAGTCAAAAGATCCATTAACGCGAATGACTACTAATTTGCTTAATTACCACTAATATAAAACCTCAATTAGTGCTTAAGCAGTTTCACATACTGCGAGTCGTACAATAATCTACTTAAATTTCATCTACATCTTAAAGTAGCTACATTAAAGCAATAAGTCAGTGACACTCGTACCAATTTCATCATGCAGTGTTACTTAACTACTGCATTCCCCTATACCCGATAAGCCTTCTGTACAAAATCGGTAATTTAACTTTAGTCGGTATTCTTGTGAAAACTGTTTTTAACATTTGTTTAACTTTCTTGCAACTCGCTAGATGCATTCCACACTCCTACTAGTGATCTGCATATCATTTGCTACATCAACCTCGGCAAGTTTAGCAGACTACATCAGTGGCTCTCAGGTGAATAATGGTTAACTACTAAATGGCTGACTGAATATTTTATTTACTACATGAATAATTGCTTGACTTTACCCTTAACCTCCACGTAATTTCAGACAATAGGTGTACAAGGTCGCAGACCTGTTCCCTCGAGTTTAAACGCCGGTAATGTTGGTCGTCTTGGTAGTGATGTCCGCAGTGAAGCATTTGTAGCTAGTGACAGCCAGAGGATAACAGGAACTGGATCATTGGTAGGTGGAAGCTCGTCCACTGGGAATGGCCGAAGTGATGAGAGGGGACAATTTGGCAGACAAAATATACAAAGTGTTGGATCTTCAGGTCCCTCTGTTGGAGGCAGACCTGGTCAGAGACTAACGCCAGATCTTGGTACGGCCCCAGGAACTTCAGGAACACTCACTTCAGCTGGAAGTGCCGGTGCATCTCCTTTCGATCAAGGAAGCGGCAGGGTCGGTCAAGCCGGCAATGGTCCTGCTCCAGTCAGGAGAGTAGAATTTCAAATTACTCCTACAGTTACGAAGGTGGCGACTGTTGATCACTTCATCACGCTAACTGACCTGGCATTCCATAGTGTTGCAGTGACCCTGACTTCCCTCAGTGTGCAGACTATCACTACTACTACACTTGCCGTAAGTAACTAGCTGTTTACACTTTATATCCTTGTAGGAGAGAAAGTAAGTTCTAACTCCTGTATTCTCAACAGGTACTACACACACCAGTTAATGATCACGTTGCTCTGCAGTCTACTGTGGTTCTGCGGCCATCATACATAACTGTTACTTGTGTGAAATCAGACTTCAGCCTAGTAACAGAAGTCTCTGTGGACCATGTGACTATTACTCACACTTCATATATAATCCAGCAAACTACTTACACCACGACAGCCACCCAAGTGTAAGTACCAGTTATTTATTTGACTTGGCCTTTAACTAACTTGCCTTTAGTCTTTTATTTACTTAATCTTTAATTTCTACAGATTAACTTTGACCTCGCCTCTAGTACGGACGATAATAAGGACTGCAAGAGAAACGCTTACAGACTACCGCACAGTCACTGATACTGTTCTAGCTCTGGCGCCTACTATGGATTTTAATCTTTTAACTTTTAATTACTGTTAAAACTGAATTAACTTTGTCTTTGTATTTAATTTCTGAGATAATGCACTAGATACTAATTCACTAGTTATGACTGTTTCAATCATCCTACATTATCAAAGCGCTAATTACTAAAAGCATAACTTGCGAAATCGCAATAACACAGCAAGCACACCATACCTCGGGTTCGTATGGTTTCTAAACGTGCTTTTTCTTGGAAGTGTACTAAATACGGATGATTTGTTGTAAAATTAGTTGAAAACCTTACCAGAAGGAGGAGAGAAAAAAAAATTAACTGGAGGGTGAGAAGAGATTGACTTCAGCATATTCAGTTAACTTCGTTTTGACTGTCGCTACCTAACTTCAACTGCTGCACTTAGCAGACCAGGGGAATGCGACCTGTTGCATTATAAAGTTTTGATACTTAAATAGACGTCATTACCCTCCTTCCCCGTACATGAAACTGCTCCCTCCCATTCTGCTGTCTAATGATGGGACTTTCAGCTAGTGTAAAGAACATAAGGCAGTGGGCACCACTTCTCCAATGGCTCTCAATTAGAAATTGGTTGTTCTCTAGCACAAAGATTTGTCAATGGAAACTTCTCGGCCTTAGCTGGGGAGGGGGTCAAAAGAGGATTTAGCCTTAACCTAGGCTAACCTTAAACTTTTAGGTGACCATCTATGCGCACAACTCCCTGCCCTTCTTCCCCCCCCCCCCTGGTTTTCCCCCCCCCCCCCCCCCCAGCCCGCCTGATTGCTGAGGTTCCCCCCCCCCCCGAAGCACTAGCATTATACCTCTTTCAGGGAAGAGAGGCTCTTTGTGGGTAAAGAGGCTGTCTGAGGAATTGGACCTTTAGGTCTTCAGATTTAACTTAATTGGCCTTCCTTACCACATCCCCCCCCCCTTTTTTTACTTAACTCGATATCCCTCCCTTTACCCCCCCCATTCCATTTGTATGCTCGGGTCCTCTCCCTCCTGCATTACGGTTTCTAGGTATGGGGAAGTGTGCCTGCTCCGTAGGGTTCTCGGGGTTTACTTTGATGTGGAATATGCATGACTGTATGCTCCCTTCCTGGATTTTCAGGTTGGGGGGGGGGGGGTTGGTGTCCTGTAAGTGATTGGTATCTCCAGAGGCTGCCTGTCAGTTCTGGGAAGTGGCAGGTGATGTGCTTTCTGGTGGGTATCCCTGCTTCTGGGGCATTTGGTGCTTCCCCTTGTTAATCTCGCAGAGGTGGCTCTGTAGATGCGAGGTTGTTAAGAGTACTACTTTACTAACGTGAAGGGGTAGGGTATGGCAAGGGTTACATGCTACATCTGCACTACTGGAGGTATAGAGGTCCTCTTGGACGAGAGGAAACTTGCAACCTTTAATGTCTTAAAGTATCTGTCCTGTTCATCCTTTTCCAAATTGCCACAATCTTTGTCTTCGTTCAGCACTGTATAACACTTGAGGTTTAGCGCTTCCTTCATAATTTCGTGCAGTGATGCCCCTCCTTCCAGGCCCTTCAAAGTTGCTGCATCCTGTTATGACGTGGCTTCTCCAGACTTCCCCCCCCCCCCACTCTCTTGTACCTCCTCCTGGTGACTAGTCACCTGCACCATGTGCCAGGGCTCTATTTTCTTTTAGTGCCTCTCATAGGTCTATGCATCTGGCTTCCCCAAATAGTGAGACTGGTTTTCGGATCGCCTGTTTGCCTTGGGTGGGGCCACCTTTGGTTTTTACATGTGTGGAAGGCAAACTTAGGATGCAGGCCTCGGGTGCATGACTATGTCGGTTGCTGTTTGTTCAAAGCATGACTGGTTAAGATTTTTTCTTCCTGCATTGTGTTGATGTGTTTGTGAAAGAGCCAAGCTTGAAGGATGGATGTATCTCGGAGGTGCCTGGGTATATGTAATAGTCTGCACATTTGAATGATTATAATCAAAAGGTGCTAAGCCACAAGGACTATACAGCTGCACATTTGAAGGGTGGTGTGATCGTGGTTAGGGTGGAAAGCCAGTTTGTCGTGCTTAGGAGTGAAAGTGGAGGGGGGAAAAGGGTCCTACATGTGGATGGGAGGTGGCTGGATGAACTTCTCGTGTATATGTTCTAGCTGCAGGTGATGTGAGAGTGAAAAATGTCTTTTGAAGATTTATGCTGTCGGTGGCGATAGTGGGAGGACTACTAATTAGTGACTTGGTACAGAGGGTGGCTGGTATTTTTTCACCAGTTTCGAAAGTTTTTTTTTTTTTTTTTTTTTTTTTTTTTTTTTTTTTATTGAAACATTACATGGTGCACAATTATGCTCGATAGTTCCAGATACATGAACAAACAGTAAAGATAACTTGCATCAAACCCAATGTTCCAAACTCCTTAAAGAATTAAAAGTATTTAAACTCTACAATGTCTGATGGATACTCTACTCCCTTCACCTAGATACTGTAAGATCTTAAAAATTCTAGATGACAGAACTGCCCATGCCTGACAATACAGTTGGCTGCCATTATTATGCAGAAACTTCCTTTGCATGTAGAAAAACCACACAATGAAAACCACACGGTGCACTTGTGTAACATAAATACTGGTAAACACAAGTTTCTTAGAGAAACCACCTAAAGTATCAATGGCCATGTATATTTGCACACCAAAGGCCAACCCATCACGGGTTGATGCTGCAAATACTAGGAAGGGCGTGCAGGCCCCCCCCCCCCCCAAGGGAACAAAGTACCTTCACCCATCATACTGGCTCACCTTAGCATGCACAGGTGCCTGTGGCCACCACACACATTGCCAAGACACTCCTGCTGTTCTCGTGAGTGGTCGTGACAATGTGTAACAATCGCCCATTGCATGTGTGATAGTGCGGTAAATGGGAAGTTGGGGGCTGCCGGTGCAGTTTGGGACAGGTTTGAGACGGTGGGGGGGGGGGGTGAAGAAGTGTATAGGTGGAACGTTGTGGGTAGAATTAGTTTGTGGGGTAGTGTACATGGCAGATGCTGGGGAAGTGCAGAAGGTGAGGTTGAGTAGGCCGAGGGTGGAGGGCTGGGGGTATGTTGCAGCAGAGGGTGGTAGTGGTAAACTTTTGTATAGCAAGGTATGGGGGATAGCAGAAGTATCCCCAGAGGTCAACCGATCTTTAACTGCAGAGGGGGGTTTTGAGGTATGTGGGGTTATGGGAGGCCGTGGCTACGGAAGGTGGTCATGATTGTGCGCCAGGCCGGGCTGGGTCTCGTATCATTGGGGATGTGTGTGAAGGAGATTTATATGAAGCAGTTACCTGAGGGTGGGAGGGGAGGATGTGAGGAAATGGTGGATGGGGAAGGGGTTATTAGTGAAGATATGGTGTAGTTTGTTGGCAACATGGGATGCAAGGAAGGTAAGAGTAAGCTGGCTTGCAAGAACAGGTAGGCAGGGGGAGGTGATACAGGGAGTAGAAACATACCTGATGTATGATTGGAAGAGGCTTTGGGGAGACATTAGAAAGCTCAGATTACAGCCACGGGTTAGGGAGCTGGTGTATAGGTTTTTGTTAGGGATTTTAGTTTTGAGGTCTGCTTTTTCAGCTGGGTTATGTGGGTGCAGGGAATTGTTCATTGTGGGGAGGAGATAGCTTTCCATGCTGTGTATTTTTGTGGGACCTTGGAGACTGTCAGGATATGGTTAGTGAGGGTCCTTTGTATAGTGGCAGGGGTTAACATTTCGACTTTGAGGGCTTTGCATTTTGATGGAGGGGTCACCAAGGATGTTAGACGGGCTGTGATGCATGTGGTGGCAGATCGTTTCGTGGGGTACGAGGGAGGTGGGGAGTGGTTGTAGGGAGATGGCACTTGTGGCAAGTGTTGCACAGTTTGCAGGAATAGGCTTTTATATGGGAGGGTGTGGGGAAAGTTTTCCCTTGGTTTATCACAATCTGACGGTAGGTGTTGGTAGGGTTGGGAGCAGGGTAGTAATGGGATGGGTCGAGTTCCTGGGACTGTCTTTAATTTTGGAGTTGAGGTTTGAATGTGGTAAAGAAAGTGGTAGTGGCGTATGTGGGTGTGCAAACGTTAAGCATGAGGGGAGGGTATGGTGGGGGAAAACTTGTGGATATCAGGGACTGGGGTTTTGACTAGACAGGTGTAGATTGTGAGTGGACTAGAGTATAATATAGTTGGTATGGGGGTCAGAGGTTGGGGGGGGGGGGCTTTCTGACGTGCTCAAGAGGCCAGGATGGTGTTTGAATGCTAGAAGTAGTACAGCTCTGCATATGTATTATGGGCCTTATGTATGGTATCAGATTTTTTATTGTTTTATTCTTTGTTTCCCTGTGAGGTTGATACTCTAGGCCAGGGGATAATTATACTTTGCAATTCTTGGAATATTGTGGAAATTTATTTAGTCCCTAAAGTTCCACAGGACAGATCCGTAATGGAACGGCTGAGCTGTGTGGCCCTTAAACCCACCCAAACAAAATGTGTTCTCCCCAAACATTTCTCTCCCTGGGTTGGCATGGTTGGGAAGCTTATTTAATTTATAGATTTACCCTTCAGGGAAGGAGTAGGTAGTTTTACTGGTAGTACACTATTAGGATCATTGAGGCAACTGTAGATAATAATGTAGACCTTAACATAGGTAGTAATAGGCCAATAATGTAGGCAAACACTAGGATAAGTTAGCTAGGGAAATCTGGCAGCCCTAGTTTGAACGAAGAGACGAGGGTCTGGAAGAGACCAGCTCTCTTAAGACATACACCAACTTGACAAGACGTGCCGTGATCAGCAGACGGCGCCCCCCACATGTCTTCACATTTGAGACCTAGGGAAATCTGGTAGAGGCACCTCGATGTACCGTAGATGACCTCCATCAGGCCCATACAGTAAGACAAGACCTCCACTTTCTCATAGATTTCTGGCCAGTGCCTGGGGAGAGTCGAGTGAGTTTGATCTGTGGGCCTGGTGTGCAACAAGCAGTGCATGCCCAGTAAGTACCAGTGTCTCTTGGCAGTTTGGAAGCTAGTGTCAGTCTGCATAGTTATACTAGGGGATACATACTCTCTTGGATATAGGAATTTGAGGTGCAGGCAGGTCACTAATGAAGATTGAATATTGCAGGAATTAAGGCTCCTGGTT